CTTCCCCTGAAGAATTCCCTGGCACAGCCCTGGCAGACACCCAGGGCAGGGGCACCCACCGATCTCGCCCTCGTCGGCCTCCCAGGTCATGAAGCAGGTGTTGGTCTCTGTGTCCCACACACAGATCTGCCCCGAGTTGGTCCCACTGTACAGAAGACCTTCAGCACCATAACAGAGAGAGGTCATCTCCACTGCTCCTAAAATGCCTGGGGCAGGGACCTGATGAACCTGTCAGAGCACACAAAATAGAAATTATGGAATGGTTTGGGTTGGAAGGGACCTTAAAGATCATCCAGTCCCACCCCCTGCATGGGCAGGGACACCTCCCACCAGCCCAGGCTGCTCCAAGCCCCATCCAACCTGCCCTTCAACACTGCCAGGGATGGGGCAGCCACAGCTTCCCTGGGCAACCTGGGCCAGGCTCTCACCACCCTCACACCAAAGAATTCCCTCCTCAGGTCCAGCCTCAATCTCCCTCTGCCAGTTTTAATCCATCCCCCTTGTCCTCTCCCTCCCTGCCCTTGTCCCAAGTCCCTCTCAAAGAGAAAATGGTTCTTACCTACAGCAGAAATAAAACCAACCCTCACTTTCTGCAGTTACTGCCTCAAATACAACTGGAGGCCACTCATGGGCAGCCAACACCATCTCAGGAAGAGAAGTGATCAGGCCTCAGAGCCTCACCAGGGGCTTGGAAAAGAAGCTGGAGATGCTGACCAGGAATTCAGAAAAGCAGGTTCAACTGAGGGTTACCTTGAGGTTGACATCAGCTCCCTGCTGCTCCAGCAGCCAGAACATGACTGATCCCTTCCCCACACAGGCCAGTTCTCTGTGAGCAAGAGGACTGAAAGCCACGTTGTGCACTGGCCACAGGAGACACGTGGATGCCAGGAGTTCATAGGTGTAGGTGCTCCACAGAGCAATGGTTTGGTCACTGTAGTCCCCTGGGGTAGGGCAGGAACCAGAGAATAGAATCACAGAACTGTTCTGGCTGGAAAGACCTTCAAGATCATTGAGCCCAACCATCAACCCAACTCTACCAACCATCAACCCAACTCCACCAACCATCAACCCAAATCTACCAACCATCAACCCAGCCCTCCACCCATCAACCCAACTCCACCAACCATCAACCCAGCTCTACCAACCATCAACCCAGCTCCACCAACCATCAACTCAGCTCCACCAACCAGCAACTCAGCTCCACCAACCATCAACCCAATTCTACCAACCACCAACCCAACTCCACCAACCATCAACCCAACTCTACCAACAATCAACCCAACTCTACAACCATCAACCCAACTCCACCAACCACCAACCCAACTCTACCAACCACAACCCAACTCTACCAACCACCAACCTAACTCTACCAACCACCAACCCAACTCTACCAACCATCAACCCAACTCTACCAACCATCAACCCATCTCTGCCCAGCCCAGTGCTTCCCCATGTCCCTCAGCACCACATCTGCAGGGCTTAGAAAGCCCTCCAGGGGTGGGATTGAACTCCCTCTCCCTGGGCAGCCTAAACCTCCCCAGGCACAACTTGGGGCCCTAAGGGCAGTAGGAGGAAGTTCTGCAGCCTCAGGCTGCTCAGGAGCACACACACATCCCCTGGGTGTCCCCCCTGTCCAGACACAAGGTGGGTTTGGAATGTTTCTAGGGAAGGAGACTCCACCACCTCCCTGGGCAGCCTGTCCCAGGGCTCTGTCACCCTCACAGGAAAGAAATTCCTCCTCATGTTTAGGTGGAATTCCCTATGTCCCATTTTGTACCCATTACCTCTTGTCCTGTCACTGGGCACCACTGGAAAAAGTCCAACCCCCTCCTCCTGACACCCACCCTTTCAGCATTGAGAAGGTCCCCCCTCAGTCTTCTCCAGACCACGAGTGTCTCAGCCTTTCCTCATAAGAGAGATGTTCTCATCTCCTACTCATCTTTGTAGCCCTTTGCTGTCTCCTCTTCAGCAATTCCCTGTTCTGGAACTGGGGAGCCCAGAACTGGACCCAGTCCTCCAGATGGGGCCTCCCCAGGGCAGAGGGGCAGGAGAACCTCCCTGGACCTGCTGGCCACACTCTTCTTCATGCCCCCTAGGATGGCCTGTTGGCCACAGGGGCTGTGCCCTTGGGGGAAGAGCTTGGCAACAAGGAGATGTCACCTCTGCTGAGGTCCAGGCTGGGAGCTGACCTTAACAGAAGCCACCCTGCCTGGGTGGCAGCAGAAGGTGATGGCAAGCAACCCAGCTCCCTGACAGCTCCAGAGGCCAGTGCTCTCCTGCTGCCTTTCCCAGGCTCCACAAACTCCTTGGAGACTTCCAGCTTCTCCCTCCTCTGCAGCCCAGCCCAGAGCTGGAGGACAAGGTCTCCTCTCCCCTGTGGCTCCACGAAGAGCACAAAGCTCCTTTTCTCTCCAGCAAACCTTCCTTTATTTCCCAAGGGCAGACTCAGCAGCCCAGGGGGCTGGTGCTGCCACAGCTCCTCCCTCCTGCCAAACAAGAGCTCCCTAATGGCATGTTTGTCCTTTAAATGTCCCCTGCCCAAACCAAACAGGCAGCTGGAGCCTGCACCTTGTGCTGGCAGCCCTGCCTGGCAGGAGGCTGAGGGTGGGAAGCCTGGATTCTCCTGCCCAATTCCTGCTCAGCAGCCAGAAGAAATCCAAAAGATGGCTTTTTTTTTCTTTTTTTCCCCCTTTGCATACTATTTTTAGGAGCTGGAAACTGTTTGCATGGGCTTCACAAGCACTAGTGAGAAGCTGGGACTGCAGGAGGAACCAGGGGCGAGGAGGAGGAGCTGGGGGGAGCAACAGCTTCGTGCCCAAACCTGGCACAGGGATCATGGAGTGGTTTGGGGTGGGAGGGACCTGAAAGATCATCTATTCCCAACCCCTGCATGGGCAGGGACGCCTCTCACCAGCCCAGGTTGCTCCAAGCCCCATCCAACCTGCCCTTCAACACTGCCAGGGATGGGGCAGCCACAGCTTCCCTGGGCAACCTGGGCCAGGCTCTCACCACCCTCACACCAAAGAATTCCCTCCTCATGTCCAACCTCAATCTCCCCTCTGCCAGTTTTCATCCATCCCCCTTGTCCTCTCCCTCCCTGCCCTTGTCCCAAGTCCCTCCCCAGCTTTCCTGGAGCCCCTTCAAGGCCCTGGAAGGTGCTCTAAGGTCTCCCTGGAGCCTTCTCTTCTCCAGCCTGAACACCCGAACTCTCCCAGTATTGCTTTTATGAATAGGCTGCCTAACCTGTTTCATAGAATCCCAGACTGGTTTGGGTTGGAGGGACCTTCAAGATCATTCAGTCCCACCCCCCTGCATGGGCAGGGACACCTCCCACAAGCCCAGGTTGCTCCAAGCCCCATCCAACCTGCCCTTCAACACTGCCAGGGATGGGGCAGCCACAGCTTCCCTGGGCAGCCTGGGCCAGGCTCTCACCACCCTCACAGCATCTTCCTCCCAGGAGCTGGGTACTCGAGGGTGCCCTCCTGCTCCCAGCCCTGCTGTACTCACCCAGGGTAGCCAGGAACCTGTCATCCCTGGAGAATGCCATGGCTTGTACTTGTGTCTTGTGGTGGCAGAGGTTTGCTGAGCAAACCCCATCCTGGATGCTCCAGATGCAGATCTGACAGTGGGACTCTCCATCCCTCTTCCCTGAGGCAGAGACAAGAATCTGAAAGAACAACATGTTGTCACTGAGACCTTGCTAAGTCATTAGAGAAACACTTCATTAATGTGTCTCAGGAACTGCTGCTCTCCAGTTAGAAGTGATGTGGTTGAGAAGAACCAGCAGCTGTTGGGCAGGAGCCCCCAGAGGGAGGGAGCAGCTTTTCCTGGCACCCTGAGCCATCCTGATGGAGAGTTGGGCTCCAAAACCACCTCATACTTTCCATAAGCCCAGGTCTCCATGTAGGAGGAACAGACACATGGGATTGTCAGCTGGGAAGTTCCTTCAGCCCAAAGGGACACAGAGAAAGCCCATCCCAGGGCAGCAGGAGCTCAGGTCCCACCTGGGCATCGTGGCTGACAGCCAGGGTGGAGATCTCCTCAGTGTGGCCCAGCCAGTGGCTCTGTGAGCCCGAGTGCAGATCCACCACCACAATGAGGCAGCCACAGGTGTAGGCAAAGAAACCTGGTGGAGAAGGAGGAGACAGGCATGAGGAGGGAATTCTTTGGTGTGAGGGTGGTGAGAGCCTGGCCCAGGTTGCCCAGGGAAGCTGTGGCTGCCCCATCCCTGGCAGTGTTGAAGGGCAGGTTGGATGGGGCTTGGAGCAACCTGGGCTGCTGGGAGGTGTCCCTGCCCATGCAGGGGGTTGGAACTGGATGATCTTTAAAGTCCCTCCAACCCAAACCAGTCCATGATTCTATGAGATGGATGTTGCCACCTAAAGGCTCCAGAATCAGCCCCCACATCATGATTCTGGAAGATCCTTTTTTTCTTTCTCAGTAAGAGGTAGAAGGTGATTCTTCTACACAGCTTGTCAGAATCCTGCCCATCAGCTGGGACTGGAGGAAAACCTCCCCTCCCAAGACCTGAGCAAAGCCAAACTCTTGGGCACCACTCCAGGCTGCAGGAAGGAGGCAGAACTTGGCTTGGTCAGAACTTTCCCTCTGCTCTGCCCACTGAAGCCCAAGTCTGCCTGTTGCAACCAACGTTCACCCAGGGCAAAGAAGAAGAGCTACTGGATTTTCCCAAGGGCAAGAACCCTTGTGTTAAAGCCAAGATCCCAACCCAACAGCTGGAGGACCCAGCACATCCCCCCTTGACCCCCCAGAGCCTTCCTGGGGTACCTGTGTCTGGGTTCCACACCATATTCCCTCTGCCATTCCCATTGTAGCCAATCACTGCTTTCAGCTTCAAGAGCTCCCTGCCAGCTGGAGGAGAAGAGAAACTCTGCAAGAAAAAGAGACACTGGCTTAAAAGAAGGTTAAAAGAAGATCTGGAGCTGTTGGAAAGAGTCCAGAGGTGGTCATGGAGATGATGGGAGGGCTGGAGCAGCTCTGGAGCCAGGCTGGGAGAGTTGGGGTGTTCAGCCTGGAGAAGAGAAGGCTCCAGGGAGACCTTAGAGCACCTTCCAGGGCCTGAAGGGGCTCCAGGAAAGCTGGGGAGGGACTTGGGACAAGGGCAGGGAGGGAGAGGACAAGGGGGGATGGATGAAAACTGGAAGAGGGAGATTGAGGTTGGACATGAGGAGGGAATTCTTTGGTGTGAGGGTGGTGAGAGCCTGGCCCAGGTTGCCCAGGGAAGCTGTGGCTGCCCCATCCCTGGCAGTGTTGAAGGGCAGGTTGGATGGGGCTTGGAGCAGCCTGGGCTGGTGGGAGGTGTCCCTGCCCATGCAGGGGGGTGGAACTAGATGGTCTTGAAGGTCCCTTCCAACCCAAACCAGTCTGGGATTCTATGATACTTTCATGATTTTATCTTCTGTTGGAAAGCAGTTTCTGACCCCCCACTGCTCCGGGTGTTCATGGTTGGTTTCTGGGCTGTAAAGTGGGCAAATCCACCCACCCTAGCCCCAAAAGGCTGGTTCTCCACTTGCTCAGGGAACCAACCCCAGCCCAAGTCTCACCTGGGGAAGCACCGAAGCTTTGAAGCGAGGAGTGAAATGCCAGTAGGAATCTGGGCGGATGGAGAACTGGGACAGGGGACTTCTGGTCTCCTTTCTGGGCTCTGCCAGACAAAGAAGAGGACAATACCTGTGGGTATTGCTGCTCCTGGGAATGGTTTGGGAGCAGCAGTGGATGAACACACACATCAACAAGGCAAAAATCAAGACTGACCAGGGGAAAAGCACCAGTACTCCAGGAACAGAGGAACATCGTCCACCTCCACCCTCAGCCCCACCACTCTTCAAACAGCCCTGTCCATCCCTGCCCCACCAGAAGCCCCACACAGCTAGAAAAAAGGTCTGCAAAGCTTCTGGCAGCTGCCTGCTCCTGGCAGCTCCCCATGAGCTGCTGCAACTTGGAGGCTGCTTCATAGAGACATGGGGAACTTTCATGCCCCGGGCTCCCCAGGAACTGCCTCTTAGGGGTGATGTTTTTGATCCAAGCTGAAGAGGAGCTTCTGCTGAGCCTAGGAGCAGCAGCAGGGAAAGAACCAGGAAGACAAGGAGTCTTGGAGAGCAGCACGAGCTTCAGGAATGACTTCACCCTGATGGTCCCATCCCTGCTCTTTGTCCCTCAGCTCACAGCATGTGTCCAGGTCTGTCTGCACCACATGAGTCCTGATTTCTCCTCATTCTCCATGGCTAGACCAAGCTGCCACGCTGGCCTGAGCATGGTGTGCCCTGGTGGAACCATTTCTGTACAAGATGGGACCACCCAACCCCTGCCTTACCATTTGCTGACCCTCCAGGAGACCTGGAGCTCTCCTGCCTCCCTCGGGGCCTCACGCCAACCAGCTCCTCGTTCCTGACTGGCTCCATCACAAGGACTGAGGCATCTTTGTCCCCGTTTGCCACCAGCCCCCTGCTGCCTGCCAGATCTGCTTCCTCCTCTTGGTCTGACGTGGAGAAAACACCTGAAAAGAAGAACCAGTGGGAGGACAGAACCATCCATGGACTTCAGGGCTGCTTCGTGTGTGACCGACCCTTTGATTCTGGCAGTGTCACTGTCCTGCTCTGGCTGGCAAAGCAGACAGGTCCTCCTGGATCTGTCCAGCAAGGTATTCACCACACTCCTCAGAGAAGCTGTGCCAGAGCTTAGTCTATGGAGAAGATCACAGGAGAACCCAAACACCTCTGGTTGGGTTCGTCCAAGTTCAGGGAAGGGAAGTGCAGCCTGGTCAGGGGGTGCAGGAAGGGGATCATGGGCAGGGATGGCTCCAAGGATGCTGCTGAATGAGGAGTTTTTCCTAAACCAAGATGGATTTTCCCCTTTCCTGCAAGTTCTTCTTACTTTGACACCCCTCTTGGTGGACAGAGGTGCTACCCAAGCAGGGAGGTGAGGAGGGCAGTGGAAGAGGCGCTGCCTGCCGAGGTGTCTCAGAGCCACCCTTGAGCTTCTCAGAGCTGCCTTCTGTGAAAAGAGCAGGGCTTGTGACATGTCCCTCAGCCCTTGGATCCTCCCACCCTCCTGGGCTGAGGGAAGGGGATACCTCCAAGCTCATTCCTG